CAGCAGGAAAGCATTAAAGAAGAGCAGTTATAACGTTATGTTACCACGTGTAAGTACAAAGCTGCACAGGGTACATATGGCTGTAAGGGGTAATGCTACTATAATCTTCCTGGTAGCACTCCTAGGGATTTGGCTAAAGTGCAGATTGAAGATCCACACAGACATAAACCTGAACAACAAACGAATGCACTTCACATTCTTACAAACAGCTGAGGGTATGAAATATCTACAGCTATCAAGGAAACACAACTTCATTATCTCTCCAAAACGGATCATCAGCAGTGATGACAATGCAAAGAAACGCCTTTTACAACAGATTTTTACTACTGACAGATGGTAGGTTGTGTTCTCTTTCAAAGCACCCCAAGTATGTCTCAAACATGAAATGCACCATTATGAACAGATCTGTGAGATGCTTTAAACCAAGAGAAACTGCTGCTCACCTGATACTACAATCCTACACATACAGTACTGTCAACTCACATCACAACATGGTAGTAAAATACTGTCTTTTCCCTTTCCATAAGCTCTGAAAAGACCATGGAAGTAATTAAACACCTGAACTTATTTTTGCCAAAGAGAAGCTCTAACTTGTGATTCAATGCTCTTCTTCCTAGACAGGATGACTGCATACAATTGAAACTAAATGCAGCTTAAGAAGAATGAAGAAAGAGGAATGATGTCTGTTCTCTTCAGTAAAAACTTCTGTCCATTGTGTACAAGCTACTCAGATCAGTTGCCAGAATTGCCTAATGAAAAATGGTGTATCAAGTAATATAGATATATATTACTATATAAATATATAGATCTCTTTATATTAGAGCTCATTTATTTCATGAGAGCTACATTAGAAACATTTACAAAAAGCCAAGTAAGCAAGCAGCTCTAAGAAATTCTCCAAAACGTTATACAACTGTTTAAATAAATACCACAAAAACATTTTCCTGGCCTTATTTGGGTACCTGTGTCTCACACAAAATCCCTCTTACCTTGTTAGCTCTTCACGTAGGTTGTTGGGCTCTGATGAGTAAAACTTTACACGAAAATGCAGACAATACGGTGGGCCAACTGCAAAGTAGAATTCATTCAAGACAGTGGTAACAGTCACTGGATGAGACATCTTATTTTTTTATTACACAAAATCACACCATAAAACCTGACTGAAATTAGCTCTGTCCTACCCAAGGTCTTAAGGCAGGAATTCCTTTGTGACAGGGAAACACATGAAAAACATCAGGGTGAAAGGACACTTAAATATATGCACAAAACAGTTTTATATGCTACAAGTCAATCCAGCAGTCATATCACATGAAGTTGATTTGTCCTGCCAAGAACACACGAATCTAGATTAATCCCTATCTTTAAGGACTCTCTGCATCACCAAGAAAGCTGTGCATCTTGGCTCTGCAGGTGACCAAACCCCCAGGTACTCTGTTGGTCTCTGTAACGCCTTCCCTGGGCTCTGGGAAATACCCACTGCTGACAACTCAGGCCCCTTTATACCACAGAAGTGTAGACATATTTTAGGGGGATTTAACAGACCCTTCTGTGGAAGAATCACCTTTTCTGGAAGCCAAAGAGTTAATTCAGTAAAAGGATGGATTAACAGTTCTTTAAAAATGTGCAGTGCTCTGCTGATTCTTCCATTTGACAGGAGGAATTTTCTCTCTCTTGGTGCCTCCAAAACCTCTGTTGTACTAACACAGCACCACAAATCCCTGAAGACTTCCCACAGCGCAGAGCAAGGAAGCTGCTAAACAAAAATCAGCCAATGTCACAGCTTATCCAAGCACACACCACTGAAACAACCAGGCCACACCAAACCCTTGTGCAGCAGGTAAGGACTTGGTGGACCCAACACAGAGTTGGGCATTCAGGACTGCCCCAAGGGATGGAGACTCCAGGACAAGTTTTCCTATAGTCAGCATAACAATCTATAACACTAAAATATCTTCAGCTGCCTTGACTCCATTTAAACTATAACTAATGAGCCTGTAACATGTTTAATTAACGACATTAGACTCAACTACTATGGGCTACAGAGGGAAGAGGTCATTAAACAACCAGCAGCACCATGACGGGTTTTTGTCACCAGGTCTTGTCACCCCTCACAGGACACTGCCCCACCACCACCCACTTAACTCTTTGTGCCTCCTGTATGTTCAATATGAGATCCCAAAAGAAAATGAAAGGACACTTACTTTTAACTTGCTTTTTAATGCTTTTTGTGTTGTCCAACCAATGCTGGAAAAAAAAAAATTACTTTCATTAAATTATCAATAAAGAAATCTCACAGAAAGAATGAAAAAGGAAAAAAAAAACCCTACTTGATAGTGAAGACTATCTTGGAATAACAAGCAGTTTGTTAAAACAATCTAATCCAAACCTTTCACAATTCACAGCTCGCTCAGAGCTCATCGAAAATTCTTTCAAAGTTTGTAATGCAAAATGCCAGTTCTGAACAACAGAAACATCCTGTAGTACCTTATTTAAAGCCAATCTTCAAGAAAGCATTATCTACTTTAAAAAAAAAAAATGTACTGACAAACCACCTTAATTACTAAAATTTTCATCCTGTCCAAACAAACACTTAATTCACACATTAGTAGGTCAGCCAGTGACAATGTGCCAGAGAGGCATAAATCATAGCTGGAAGCTCTGGCACTCAGTTGTGTGCAATGTTTACTTGGGATGGAAGGGGAGAGACAAAATAAATATTGTTGGCTTTCAGGCATTTTCTTTAGATGACTCAAGTGCAGTAACAGCAAAGCTGCCTGTATCCAAACATAAGGGTCAATTGTACCCAATTCTCCAAAATCTATTCACAAGTGACATTTTAGCAACTGTCACATGGGAGGACAGAAGTTACTGCCTCACCTACTAATGCTAATTATAAGCTATATACTAGACGTGAAGCCAAAATAATGGCTTCACTTATACTGCGTACAACAGCATGGGAAAAATAAGCTATAGATGGCAGGTTGAGAGAAACATCTACATGTATATGCTATGCTCCCTCAGTGCACTACCTCAACAGCCAGAGCAAACTACCTAGCACACCATGTCCTGCATGGTTCACAGTGCCCAGGTAACACTACCTCATTTGATCAATCCCAAATGTCACCTTGCAACTAATACAGATGAATTATATACTTAGCAACACTCCTTTCGTTAAACTATGTCACATGAAGTTCACAGCGGGCCTCATGGAGGACAGGAAAGCAACAGGGGTATGAGAAAGAACCGGTATTTTCAGGTTGCAATGCCAAGTGCAAACACATTCCTGTCTTCAGAGCAGCCCTGCCTTCTGCAGAGAGTGTGTAAAGTCAGCCTGTAATACAGCCAGGATATGCAGTGATTGATACGTTAGTTGCAGATCAGAACAACTGAACCATCTACTGCTGCTGTGCATGTAGCTGAAAATGCTCTCGTTACCTATTAAAACACAGTAGCTACAGAAAGCTATCTGAAATATTTCAAACATATTTTTAAATTAAAGCAGGAAGCTTAAGGAAGAATGAAGCAAATATTTATGACAACTTTGCTTACACTACCAGAGAAATGGAGTTGAGCAATTTTTTTTTGTTTCTTTAAGAAAATGATATAATCTCTCTTCCTATTCCATAATTTCACTTACTGTAAGAGACAATTTACTTACTCCTTCCTCCACCACAAAAATGGCTTGCAGGTGATTTAGATACAGGAATGGCAGAGAGCGCCATTTCTAGGCTCCAGGACTGGCTGTGCACGCCTGTTTCATCTCCCTCCTGTTTTCTCTCATCTCCTCCACATTCCATGGGAAGGCAACTGAGAGGCCCTCGACAGGCACTGATAGCATTTTACTCCGCTCAGTTCTTACCACTGCTGCCTACAGGAGCTCCATCTGAATGGTAAGGGTGTGCATGGAAGAAGGGAAACAGAACTGTTTTTAAATTGAGGCGGGGAGAGGGGGAGAGGGCAGGCACCCAAACCACAAAACCCCCAAACCAACACATGCATGGACACACACAGATGTCAGGAAACTTAAGATTTATTCCAAGTGACTAAAATGGAATTCAAGTGGACCTAGCAAAAAGTTTACATTTTGATGAGAGTTTGCTCAGCACAGTCTACTGCTGAAATCCAGAGATGAAGTTTGCTAAACAAAAAGCAATATGAACAACAGACTGCATAGAGTACTGGAAGTCCTTACTAAAACAGTTTGCTTCTTCAGAAATTTAAAAAAAAAACCCTGTACACCACAAAAAAACCACAAAACACAACCTTCCCCCCCAAAACTCAGCAACATTTCAAGAAGGTAGGGTAAATGAGGTTTTTTAGTAAGACAGCGAGGCTAAAACTGGTCCCATATGGAATTAATGGGTGCATACTTAGTGCAATGCTATACAAATGATTTTGGACATTAAGCACTACATTAGACAAAACTGCCAGAGCAACAAACCAACATGTTGTACAATTCCATTAGGAAGAGCAAGTATTTGATGCTTGCAACCTACACTATAGAGTTAGAAATTTGCCACCTGTTAAATGCTCAAATGCCTCCTTACTAGAGACATGTCTCCAGCATTGCTAGAGGAAAAGCCAAAGACCCCAACAAGTTAACAGCAGTCTCCATCTTTTGTGTCACTGGACATACTGCGCTGTTCATTGTCAGCCTGAATTAAAGTTACTCAAATGAACAATTGTCTGTTCCCTTGGCTGCCAGACCAAGTCTGATATATGGTGGACAATCTTGCAAATAAACTCCTTCTGCCATCTCCTGCCTCTTACTTGGGGGCAGGGAGTAGGGGGGAAGGAGGGAATCTATTCCCATCCGTCAGACTAGCAATGAACACAGAAATCGCATGAAAATGACAATTCTTTCACTTCACTAATTGTTCCAAGAACTTCTTTAAAGAAGCTAGTATTTGCATCCTAAAATCCAAAATGTCAGGAAGAGTTTGTATTATCTGGGTTCCTGCTACTCCCCAGTACATCATAAACTCAAACACCTAACTACCAATCACTTCAACAACTCAAAAGAAGAAAAAAAGCTATCCTTCAGTTGTTCCAAATGAATCTACTGAAAACTCATTTGTAGTTAAAACAAACGGGGAATCTCTCAAATTTTTATTTAACTACATGTTGCTAGTTTGCCAGTGGTTTTGAATCATCAGGTGCAACTAGCTAGTAAGGCAATATACTTAGATTTAAATTGGGGAGCAGAAAGATTATTACTTTCAGAGTCAGTGGACAATTCTGTCCACAGAGTGGGACTGGATTCTTACACTATTCAGTAGGTCTCCTGAATAATCTTGACAGGTCACTCCATTAGTCTCTTTGTTTCCAGCTACAGATTGCGTTTCTGCTCGAATGTGCCAGCTCCTCTTTGCAAGAACAGCTGCCATCACAACAGTTCTTAAAACGGTTTCCTAAACCAATTACCTCTGGCTGTTGTGTTCAGCTCTGCTGGCAAAATGCAATCTTTTCTGCTTCATTATAGAGAGTGTATCATTAAGGTCCAGTTTAAACAGATTGTTATCTCTACTCTGCCTCTTTTCAGTCACACATAGGTATGAAAAGGAAGCAAATTAAGTTCGAAATCGCTTGTACCTGGTAGACTGTGCAGAATCAAATACTCAATCAAGTGCTGTCTGGAGAATTGGAGGGTTAAACCCCTCTATCTTTACAAAGGCAGTGTCAGAAGTACACATTATTTGTATCACCCTGGTCTTCTCAGGGCTTGAAGTACTGACCTAGGAATCGAGTTGCTCCTCTCCTCCAACTCCAAGCATCAATCTTCCAAATAACTTCTCCAAACTCCCCAGTCTCTTTTCTCCTTCATCTGAAGATGCCACTGGCAGCAAAGCACCAGTTCTGCTTCTCTCCCCGGTTTAACCCCAGCCTTTGACAACATGCACCATATATTCTTGTACTGAGTAAAAAGCCCTGCAGGCTGGAAGGCTGCAGTCAATCATTTCTGCCTCCAGAGACAGAGCTTATCAATTCTTCTATTTACTCAATCTCTCCCAAATACAGGAAAGATAAGCATTTGGGATTCAACATTTTGTTCTGTTATTCTCTGGAGAAAGAAAAAGGCATCTCCCAAAAATTTATTTCAATACCCACTATAACTGTACATTTATTAAAGATTATATAGAAGGATTTTAATGTACTGTGCTCACACTTATTGACCCTATATATAGAAAGATAAAGATTCAAAACATTCATACTTGGCAGAAATCTCTTATTTTTCCTCTCCCAGAAAGTTTTTATCTTCTAGTTACATATCTGATTTAATCCATTTCTGAATCTATCTCCTAATTCTCTTCAGTGAAGAGAATGTTTTCTACAATTACAAGCTAAGCATAAAACTCAGTTGCAGTAATTTTGAGAAGAAGCCATCAGGTTAGAAGTGTGCTTTGGGGTGGATAACACTGTGTCCAAAGCTGTCGGCTTCTTTCAAAGATTCAAACTTGGGGAGGTTTTTTGCCATTGTACAAAGCTGTAGCAATTAAGATGTCACCTTCAAATTGTTCTGGACATAGACCCTCACAGAACTGAAGGAATATATGTCATTGCTTCCATTTTGTATGCTGACCTCAAACAATTTGGGTATTTAGCTCAGCAGTGACTGCCTGTGCTTCCACTCTGCCATCCTAATCATGAAATAATTCTGAAGTGGACTTGAAACACAGAAACAATTAGGTCATACATCTAACAAATAAGATTGACATACACAGTATGAAAACTCAGATCTCCTTCCACCTGGGGGTGTTGGGGTGAGTACAGGTTTAAGCTACAGGGATGCAGGACAGAGACAAAAATCCACTCCTTGTCTAACACCTTACTCAACTTGCAGCTATCCTTGTGGGCAGTATTAAGTACTTGGCCATAAGAAGTATCTACATAAAACTGCACAGCCCACAAGTGAAAGAACTGTGGTTGCCTCTGAAAAGCAATGCTCTGCTTCTGTTTTCAAAAGCAGTCACATTTTTACAAACCCCATAAACTTCACAAACTCAGGATTGCAAGAACCCTCTACTCAAACTATCTGGTACATACAAACACACCTACATCCTCCCAAAAATTTCTAGTTGCAGGTCTGAATCACAAGTGATTTGAGCAAATCAAAGGTATATCCCTCTTGCCAGGATTACTTCCCAAGCAGACATTAACAAGATGACTTTTGCTGACAAGAAAGTTGATGGCATTGGAAAACTTTCTTCACTCTGTAGAACAACAAAAGGCCAAGCATACACTCTAGTTTTGCCCATTCCTCTCTGCATCAGTAGCATCAAGAATTTCTACATGACGTGCCAGGCTCTGGGGTCCTGCCAGACCAGCTTGCCTAATGACAACAGAAGGTGTAACAGGAACAAGTGAAAGACAAGAAAGGAAGAGACAACAGCATTGCAATATTTATTTAGAGTGCTCGAGGTGGAATTCAAACTTTGGGTCACTTTAACAAACCACAGAGCTTCTGCACAAAACTTAACTCTAAAAAGGCAGCTTTCTTATAGCATTTTTGTTAATATTAAGTCTTAACTTTTAGACTATTGCTTTTAAAAAAAAAAAAAAAAAAAAAAGAAAAAAGCACCGCTACTCACTGCCACTTGTGCAGAATCCATGAACCTTAATCCAAAGTAGTCGCTTTCTATAAGGTCCAGGTGATACATGATCTGTTCAAACAGGAGCTGGCCTTTGGCTTTTTTCTGAAAATATAAAAGGATTTAGTACTTAGCTGGTAGATTTATTGTAGCATCTACTTTCTTCTAGGCATACTTTATTCTGTAATTTCAAAAGTAAGAGAATCCCAAAATTAAGCTTCTGAAAATATAATGTGGAAATTATTTTCTTCCCTCCTATTTTTGATGGCTGTTTTTCTAAAAGGCAAATGTACACCCCACAAGAAGCACACATAATACCCTTAAGGGACTTGCATAATCTCCTCCTTTGGAAAATGTCAACATTGACTTGCACAACACAGAGTGTTAAAACGTCATTTTATCATTGTCCCTTTTAGGCTTTCCTTACTCACTGAAGTTCAATAGAACTGAAAATATAGCTAGTACAATTGCAGTAAGTAACGCACTGGAAAATTTTCAGAGCAAAGCACAGCAAATTGCTTACAAATTTACTACTGTTTGATATCTAGGCAATTCACCAGTTTTGAAGCAGGTCGCAAACCATACTGAATGAGGATACAGCATTCCATTAACAAGTGCTTTTAACAACTGCCAGGAAACAGTCTGGGGCAAGCAACATTAACAAATAGTACTTAGATATCTAAAACATTTACAAAAGTAAGTTCACTTATAGGTGCAAAAAGCCACCACAAATGGTCATACATGAAAAAAACCCTTAGCTCTGGCCCCAAGGAAACATTTCTACAGTGATGATCTGAAAAATTAAAGTTGTTTTTTAAAGAGAAGGCATGTAAATAGCACTGGGCAGTTTCTACACAACATACATTTTTTATGCTATGAACTCCTTTTAGTAATACACTGAAAGAAAAGTTTAAACAGTAATATCCGAGATGTAATGAAAACACATTAATAAATTAGTATGTCAGAGTACAAGTCATGGTGTTGAAAAGAAATATTTTTTAAATGCAAAGAAATCCAGAAAGGATTTATGCTTACTCTGCAAGCAGTTTAAGGATTTCTCTATTTCCATAATGCTATCATCTTGCAATCTTTTATCTTGATCTTTATACATTCACAACTTGAGAAATGGGCTAACTTTCTAAGCATATTTTTTAGTAAGCTACTAATAAGCAGATTTAGTCCACCTCTCAAAATTCCAGGCCAGCCAGAATTCTTATTCTCAGAAATAATCTGGTTTAATCACCAACTAATATCCATGTAAATAAAGCAGCATGTGTAATTTTGGCCTCCTTCCTCTACCCTTCAATATTTTGTATTCAACTTTGCAATCATAATTATTGGTTTACTTGATGCATCAGTTAAATCCAACGTGACATTTCACAGCTTAAAGCAAAATCTCAGAAAGTCTGTACACTGAACCTGCCTAAGCAAGTTCTCACACAGTTATTTATTTCCCAGTATTGGGGGAGGTAGAGGGACAAGAAAGCAATTAGACCAGCAGGCAACTTCACATACACACAGCATCTACAAAACGTTGTATAATGAAAATCCTGAGATGTAGACCTCATCAAACTTGTTCAGGGCAAGTTTTTTCTGTTGACTTCAAGAAAAGTACTTCTCAGGCAACAGCAGATTTAATAAACACCAGCAAGACTCTCCTAACAGAAGCCTTATGGCAAATCACCTACATATAAACCCACACATTTTTTTCCACTGAGTCTGTAGCCTCTTTCTTGAAAGAGTAAGGCATTGAACTGTTGATAATTTCTCTCAGCACAGGTTATCCTTCTGCTTAAATAGTAAGATATACTAATAAAAGTGAAATCAATTCAGCATTTGCAACAGCAAAACTAGAAAAATGTTTTATTTTGCAAGAAGCTTTCTGCAGCTGGTCTAAAACTAGAGGAAAATCCCCCCTTATTGGGCAGAACATTTTAGATCCTTCTCAATTCCTCAGTAAGTCATCTCTTAAAACTGTAACTAACCAGTTACCTCAGCCAAATTCCCTCCCGGGGACAGGCAATGGAGCACTTTAACTCGAGCCTGGAATTACTACATGCACTATTCTCAAACTACCAACAACCAAAACCTATTATTGTTCAAAATTCTGCAGCATCAAATTAGTTTCAGAGCGTGTTCGCCATTTTGGTAACCTCAGCGAAGGACTCAAAGATGAAGTGGACCCAGAATGACTAATGTAGGAGACAGTCCCTGACGAATAGCACTGGAGCGGCTGTGAAAGGTTTGCAGGGCTGCTGGTTGTTTTCTGACTTAAATCACCAAGGCTGTCAACATGGAATTAATTATGCAGTGCTTTGCATATGACTTAAACCATCAGTGGCTGTATTTGGTGCAAGTCAGCACAAGTTTCACACGTGCTTTAATGTTAAATTCAAATTCTTTCTTAAAGCCTTACTGAAGTCCTTCCTCCTTATATTTAAACAAACAGCAACCAAAAATAATATTTCTTTGTAACCCGTCAACTTTTATGAATCAAAACGAATTTCTTCGTATTCAATAAAACTGTGATCTCAAGTGTTTTCGAAAGACGTAGCAAAGATACACTTTTATTACATTTTCTGGTGAAAAATTACCAAATTACTAACTTTCCAATGGCAACATTCAATTTCAATGACATTTTTATCCTGCTGCTACCCCATGCTTCCTCCCCCCCACTTTTCCTTGCAGCAGAGCTCAGGTTACTCTCAAAGGACAAACATTTTCAAGCTGCTTAATGGTTACCGATGAACTACTAACGACTCAACTGCAAGCAGTCCAGCCAGTGGCTGGTCCTCCCTTCAGGGCACAAATTACAAGTCCTCATGGTTTGTAACTCTGTAAAACCTGACTACTCGATTTGCAGTTTGCTACACTCTGTAGGAAGCAACAGCAAACATCTCACAGCAGGAGAATCAACAACCGAACCGGGAAACGTAAATAAAATGTATCATTTATATAGGGCAGGTCATCTAGTGGTTTTGCCACACTTTGGAATGAGATAAAAGCATCTTTTGATCGCTTTGGCATGAATGGTGCCCCCGCCCCTGAATGGAAGGGATGCTCCCAACGATGTCCTAATGACATCTCATGCTGCTTTTAATAACTGCAATTGCTGGCTGAGCAGGTGTTGCAGAGGCTGCACTTAACCCCGGTGGCTCAGCAGCAAGGCTGGGTAAAGCCAACTCTGGTGTTCAGCTCGGCAGGCTGGTTTGTCCCTTCAATGCCGGGATAAGGTGATAGGAGACATTCATCTTGGCTCAGGCATCTCAGTCACTGCCTAAAACCCTCTTCTCATGGTCTCAGAGGTAAAGGCTATTTACCTTTAATGAGGTAAATAATATTTACCATGGACACGCATGCAAGAGCATAAGCCAGCAACTCAGTGCTCCACGACTTGCCTGTCTGATGTAAAAGCCATTTTCAGTCCCAGCAGCAGCCAGTACAGGCCAGCACTGGTGAAGCAACATGGGCTTATGAGGGCTGGGGAGGAGACCCTTGTGCTGGGCAAGCACCAGCTAAATGGCTCGCTTTTTAAGGTTTTTATCGGGTTTTTAATCACAGCGAAGTACTTCAAACTTTGAAAACTTGAAAAAAAACCCAAACCAAACCAAAACACCCACCTAATGAATTTACTAAAATGCTTATCACAAAAGGATTCTTCTCCTCTTTATTTCTTTCTCTGTGAAGAAAAGGAGATCCCTATGCAAGATGAATGCTGAAAAAAGAGAGATGAATAGGCTTTACCTTCATTGGACTTACTATCCCTCTGTCTTTGCAGGTGTACTTTTCTGTCAGAAGATTTCTTCAAATGATTATGTTAATATTGCTTATTATTAATAACAGTAGCTATTGCCTTCAGTAGCTACTGAAGGGCAAAAACCTCCATTCCTGTTTTTTGCCAACTCATTAGGAGGGTTACCATTCATATTCATACCAGTTTCCTCAGAAAGACCCCATTTGCTCCCCAGAGAAACTAGGGACCCCATTCAGTATTTACAGCTACCCAGTTGCTAGGATGTCACCTATGCACATTTGCAGACTATGGCAACACGGGAGCGGCAGATGAGCCTGTCCGTTTTTTTCTGAAGTTAATCCCCCTTCTCCCAAACATCGTGTTTTGAAAAAATAAGCCATGAGAAAGCTCCAATAGTGAGCTTTAAAGGAAAAAGATTTCATCTCAGTATCAGGAAAGCAGTACCTATAGTTAATGCCATTAAGGTTTGCTGGGGAATTGGAGGGTTAAACGCCTCTATCTTTACAAAGGCAGTGTCAGAAGTACACATTATTTGTATCACCCTGGTCTTCTCAGGGCTTGAAGTACTGACCTAGGAATCGAGTTGCTCCTCTCCTCCAACTCCAAGCATCAATCTTCCAAATAACTTCTCCAAACTCCCCAGTCTCTTTTCTCCTTCATCTGAAGATGCCACTGGCAGCAAAGCACCAGTTCTGCTTCTCTCCCCGGTTTAACCCCAGCCTTTGACAACATGCACCATATATTCTTGTACTGAGTAAAAAGCCCTGCAGGCTGGAAGGCTGCAGTCAATCATTTCTGCCTCCAGAGACAGAGCTTATCAATTCTTCTATTTACTCAATCTCTCCCAAATACAGGAAAGATAAGCATTTGGGATTCAACATTTTGTTCTGTTATTCTCTGGAGAAAGAAAAAGGCATCTCCCAAAAATTTATTTCAATACCCACTATAACTGTACATTTATTAAAGATTATATAGAAGGATTTTAATGTACTGTGCTCACACTTATTGACCCTATATATAGAAAGATAAAGATTCAAAACATTCATACTTGGCAGAAATCTCTTATTTTTCCTCTCCCAGAAAGTTTTTATCTTCTAGTTACACATCTGATTTGATCCATTTCTGAATCTATCTCTTAGTGTTTGTTCTGATACAGAACATATCCAAACTGCTTGTCCAGCATTGAGGTTTAGAGACTAAATACATCCCCGCAGTATATTCTCAAACATATCAGTTTTATTCGGTTGTTCCACCTGCAGGTTTCTTAGGAGCAGTCTGGTTAAAGAGTATATGAGAGTCTCAGTCTTCAACTGAGCTCTTTACAGGGCAGTTCAGTGGGAAAGCACGGCTT